CTCCACTGTACTCCATCTGAAATTGAAATTGAGTGTGAAAAGAACTGGAAAGTATTTCTAAAATTCAGCAGCTTTATCACTTTACCAAAAGGAATTAGATATCTTCATATAAGTAATATATAGTAAATTATAATAACAACCCTGAAATTCAGAATATCTGTGAGTTGAAAGCATCCTTAAAGATCATCTGATCTGATCCTCTGATGAATACTAGAACTCTCTCTGCAACATCCCTCATGTGTGATCCTCCAGCTTTTGCCTGAATTTCTCCAATGACAGGGAACTCATTACCTCATCAGGCAGATTATTCTAGCTTGGCACACTTCTCACTGTTACAAAAGAAAGTTCTTCCTCAGACCAGACTGAAATTTAGCTCCCTGTTACTTATTCTCATGTAGCTACCTTTGTCTTCTCAAACTGGGAAAGAAAAAAATCTCCAGTTTGTATAGGAGATCAGTCTTAAAACACTTAAAAACAACTTTCATGCCCCCTTATATCTTTTTCCTCTTTGGGATTAAACTTCCTTAGTTCTTTTATTGTTCTCATTTGTTATAATTTCCAGATTCTCTGTCTTCCTGTTTCCACCCCTCAGATGTTGTCAGTGTTCATCCCAGAGCAGTGTCAGAAGGAAGCACAACACATCAGGTGTGGTCCAGGAGTGCTGAGAGCAGGATCACTTCCTGCTCTCCTTCACTGATGCAGCCTAAACTCACCTCAGGTGCTCTGAGAGTCACATTATACCCTTGACTCACAGTGAACTTTGACTTCCCAGGTGGCTTAGTGGTAAAGAATCCACCTGCCAGTGAAGGAGAGGCAGGAGACTCTGGTTTGATCCCTAGTTCAGGAAGATCCCCTGAAGGAGGAAATGGCAACCCACCCTCTCCAGTATCATTGCCTGGGAAATCCCATAGACAGAGGAGCCTGGTGGGTACAGTCCACGGGGTTGCAGGATCACGCATGACTGAGCATGCACGAATACTGAACTTGCAACCAATATGTGGCTCTTTTAGCTCCCTCTTCCAAATTCTGAAATTATATTGCTGTGCTGGGTTTTTGTTTTTTTTTGTTTTGAGCCCAAGGGTAGTAAATTTCATCTTGTTAAATTCAGTTCCTTGTCCAATCTATCAAGGTAAACTTGGAACCTTACTCTTTTACCCTACTTAATAGTGATTTTGTATCATCTGAAATTTTGATAAATATGCTATCTGTGTTCCCATCCAAGTTGTCATCAATTTTTTTTTAAGCTGAATAGGAAAGTTTCCAAGGCTAGGTTTGTGGAGGAAGATGAGGTAAAGCTAGAGTGGTTCCAAAAAGACATTTTCTTTTTGGATTGACAGTGGTTCTTGGTGTTGTGCACTTTCTGGGAATGTGAGTGTCTGGGTAACTGAGTAAAGACTCATCCAGCAGCATCACTTCGGCGTCAGAGCTTGTGACCCATGACGAGGCAGGAAGGCAAATATTGATAACTTGGTTCATAGATCTGATTGCTTCCTATATACTCTCTGCTGACAAGTACTGAGAGTTGAAAGGGAGGATGTTATGAAATAGAAGCAAGGCTCACTGTGAGGAGACAAACAGGACTCCCAGACCAGGTGATTGCTGTAAGCATTGAGATCTCCAGAAATGAAAAAGAAGACATTCTTGGAGCAAAGACAGAGCTAACAACAACAACAAAAAAGAGCTCTGGCACACTGCATGGAGTTTGAATAAATTTTTCTCAGCTTGAACAGCCATTCTCTTCTGTCATTCCTCAGAGGTCACACCTAAAAGCCAAAAGAATCAGACTGAGGCCACCTTATGGGGGTTCACAGCAGGGAGGGTCTCTGTTTATGCCAGAGGGTGTTGGAAATCAATTTAATGTCAAAGTCCTCCTCCCCAGCCCACTCATACCATGCACCACAGGGGTGTATTTTTAAATGTCTTTCTAATATTCACTTAAATTGTTCTTCTCCTTGCCCATTTTAACACAGTCTTTTTATTCTCTAGTTCCCACCTCTTCTCCTCCACAGTCTCTGCCCTGACCCCCTCAGGAGTCTGGTGGGCTGTGGTGTCCCAGGCGCCTGAGTTGGATGCAGCTGTGGGGCTGGAGGTCAGTTTTGGTGCCTGGGGGTAATTATTGGTGCCTGATTACCAATAATTGGATTTCCAATAATTGGCTGTCTTGGATTTCCAAGACAGTCAAGAAGGAGAAATGGGACCAGGCTGCCAAGTCCACGTATGCCGGCTTGTGAGAGAGCCTGGAGCCAAGGCGGAGCCAATGTCAGGGGCAGACAGAGCAGTAGGTGCCAAACTGATGAGCACGCAGGGTTTTTAATGTGTCTCTGGTGGCCAAGGAAGAGGCATGCTTCTTGGGGCTAAGGGCCCAGGCTGGCAAAGAACATCCCCAGCCCCATGCCTCCCTACTCCATACTCCAGCTCTGATGCCCATCTCAGACTCTTTCTTGCTCCCACAATGCACTGGGATGCTATTTTAATCCATTCAGGCTGCTATAAGAGAAACACCATAGACTTGGCAGCTTCAAAAGCAAACACTTATTTTTCATACTTCCGGAGGCTGGGAAGTCCAGGATCAAAGTGCCAACTGATTTAGTGTCTGGTGAGATCCCATTTCCTAGATCACAGATCGTCATTATATTACTGTGTCTACCTGACAGAAGGGGTGAGAGAGTTCTCTGGGGTCTCTTTATTTTATTTATAATTTTTTGGCTGCACTGTGCCATGTGGCACACAGGATCTTGGTTCCCTGACCAGGGTTTGAACCCATGCATCCTGCATAGGCAGCAAGGACTCTTAACCACCAGACCACCAAGGAAGTCCCTGGGGTCTCTTTTAGAAGGGCATGGATCCCATTCATAAGGGCTCCGTGCTCGTGACTCAATCACCTCCCAAAGGCCCCACCTCCTGTTCAGTTCAGCTCAGTCACTCAGTCGTGTCCGACTCTTTGTGAACCTATGAACCGCAGCATGCCAGGCCTCCCTGTCCATCACCAACTCCGAGTCCACCCAAACCCATGTCCATTGTGTCGGTGATGCCATCCAACCATCTCATACTCTGTTGTCCCCTTCTCCTCCTGCCCTCAATCTTTCCCAGCATCAGGGTCTTTTCCAATGAGTCAGCTCTTCGCATCAGGTGGCAGCTTCAACATCAGTCCCTCCAATGAACACCCAGGACTGATCTCCTTCAGGATGGACTGGTTGGATCTCCTTGCAGTCCAAGGGACTCTCACGAGTCTTCTCCAACACTGCAGTTCAAAAGCATCAATTCTTCACCACTCAGCTTTCTTTATAGCCCAACTCTCACATCCATACATGACTACTGGAAAAACCATAGCCTTGACTAGACAGAAAGTAATGTCTCTGCTTTTTAATATGCTGTCTAGGTTGGTCATAACTTTCTTTTCAAGGAGCAAGCGTCTTTTAATTTCATGGCTGCAATCACCATCCGCATGACACCACCACATCAGGGATGACACAAGCCTTCAGTCTATAATCGACTTGAATTGTCCATCTACTGGACATGATGCAGTAGATCATGCCCACTCTCAACTCAGGAGGTGCATTCCTTCCACTCAAAGGGCCTGTAATCAATGTAAGAGATGCTCCTGTTACCTGCTTCAGCTTGTTGGAGCCCCACTAGGTGGACCACCCCCACCTGGCCTCCCTGCTTGGTTAGGTTTCAGGGAGTTGGCCACTCACCATCGGGTCCTGTGCGCAGTAAGATCTGAACTCAAACAGGGGGCTGGTCACCCTCAAAAAGATGGAAACCACTTATCTGAATACAGTCAACATTTCCATTAATTTAGTAATGGCTACAGTGGTAAAGAATCCACCTGCCAATGCAGGAGATGCAAGAGATGCAAGTTCAATCCCTGTGTTGGGAAGATCCCCCAAAGGAGGAAATGACGACCTACTCCAGTATTCTTGTCTGGGAAATCCCATGGACAGAGGAGCCTGGAAGACTACTGTCCATGGGGTCACAAAAGAGTCAGACGTGACTTAGAGACTAAAAAAACAACAAACTTGTTCAGTTAGGTTACTGAAAAGATGAGTGTAAACAGAATCTGTTTTTTAGCCATATATATTAAGGGAGTACATAAACCAAATCAACCCTTAAAGTTTCTCTGGATTGAGTATTTCACTTTACAATTTAAGTCACACTGATCTAGTTAAAGGCCATAGGCCGTATTATTATTTTCTGTTATTAGCCAAATTTTTGTTTGCTTGTGGTCTGATTCTTTCAGGTGTAGGCTTGTGTTAATTTGTAGGGTTGAGTTATTTATGTCATATTACAGTCTAGTCTATCCACTTTCTTTGTGTTTTCCTCTCAAGATGATCACCAATTCAAAATGAACTTAAACCCTAAGCCCAGGAGTGGGACAAAAGGAGTGAGAATGGGACTTGAGAGAACGGAAGGATCATCTCTTGGTATTTTGGCCCAGTTGTCCTAGACCCCAAAGGCATACGGAAGCACTCAGCTCACAGGGGAGGGAAATAGGAAGATAACAAAGATAAAAACACCAACTCCACCCAAATGACTCAAATGAAGGCGCGTCTTGGAGTCTTTTTGTCTTTTTGTTTTCCTGAAACTCGAGGCCTGAACCTAGGAGAGCACTGTCCAGCTGCCTCTGCTCAGATGGGAGCTTCATAAATCTCCAGAAAGTGGCTGACCCTTTCTCTTCTCTCTTTGGCTCTGTTTCCTTCTTTGCTGAGGGTCCTGATTTGTCAGAGCAGGAGGGAATTGCATCAGTCAATTTTGAATCAGACAAAACAAAACCAAAAGGACAGCCTTCCTTGGAAATGAAAAAATACTGGTGGGAATTTTTTTTTCCACCACTCCTGACTTACTAAGCAGCACTAAATATATTAGAGGAGAGTAGACAGGATTTCAGATATATGAAGGGGAGCAGCAATTTGAACCCTGAGTTGGGTGGGGCTTGAGTAGGAAAGCAAAGGTATGGATTCAGCCTCATGATTCTCCCTCTCCCCCTGCAGGTGAGAAGAGGTGAAGAGACAGAAGCAGTGCAAGTATGAAGGTGTACATCTGCAGGAATGCCCCTGTACATGCCGCTACAATGAGTGAACAGAGAAGAGTACAGGAGAGGAAAAGAAAAGGTGAGTGAAGTTGAAAAAGAAAATACTCAGGTCAGTAATAGTGATCATAAGAACCATTAAGGGTAAGAGTGATAATAAGAACTATATGCTGCATTCATCCATTCAACATGCATTTGTTCACTGCTGCTCTAGGCCTGGCATGTTCTAGGGTCTGAGGATACAGCGGTAAATAAAATTAAGCCACTCCTTCAAGAAGTTCTAGAGTAATACATGTCAGGCAGGTAACATTCCTCATCTCATCTATTGACCCTGTGAAGTGATTACTGTTATCCCATCCTACAAATGATAAAACTGAAGCACAAAGAAGCTTTTCTAACTTGGCCAAGTCTCACAGCTGAGCCAAAATTTGACCTCAGCTCCCTCTGACTCCAGAGCCCCTAGAGTGTTATATGCACCCTCCACTAGTGAATCCCCAGTGAAGCCCCACTGGCCCAGCTTCAGTGGTGAGAACTCATTGGAGTGACCATTTTCCCTCCTTGAACTTGATTCTATCCATCCATGGCAAAGGGGATGGATTCACTGATCTCTAAAGTCCCTCCCCGCTTATTTGGAAACATATTCTATACTGATATCCTCCCTGCCCCCAAGTGCTTCTCACGGAGATGAGCGGGAAGAGCTCAGTGGATGTTCAAAAAGAGATGACAGCCCAGAGTAATGTTTCCCACACTGGGTTCCAAGGATTTCTTTCCCGGGATTCTGAAGTTTTCTATGAGAATTTGATGTTTGTGAAACAGATTCCTTGAGAGCCCGAGAGCCCTCAGTTCCAGAGAGAAGCAGTCCTGGAGTTGCCCTCTGAGGACCAGCAGAGGAGGGAAAATGATGGGGTGGAAGGAAGGATGGGGAGAAGGGTGTGCTGGACCTCGGGAAGCAGCCTGTCTGGGCAGTTACCTTTCTTCCTGGAGGTACAGGACTGGGGCAGTCCCAGCACAGCCCCTCCCTTCCCCTGCCTTCTTTAAATACGTGCAAGTCATGGGGGAGAGTGGCTTAAGAGGGAGGGGTTACAGGTATATTTAAAGCTGTTTCACAGCAAAAACCAACACAACTTTGTAAAGCAATTATCCTCCAATTAAAAAATGACTTTCTCTCTAAAAAATACCAGCAAGTCCACATGCCCCCTGAAGCTGGGAGAGGTGAAAGGCAGTGGGGGGATGGGCAGGGGGGGTCCAAGGCGGTTCAGGGTGCACCTAGAACTTTGAGGGTCAGGCTAGAGCATTTGAGGGGGGAGGGGCATGCCGCCAAATGGTCATGGGCGCCCCAAAAAGGTGGGAGGGGTCCCAGCTCTTCCCCTTAACCCCAGCTCACCTCACCTGGCCAGTGAGGCGAGAATGTGAGCCCAGCTTGCCCAGGAGCTAAATGCAGCCCAGGTCCCCCTGATAAGCTTAGTCAACTTATTAAATTACACAGGAAAAATAGAGATGGAATATTAATTCCGCACACCTCTCCCCTCTGCCTGGGGAACCTGCCTTCTCTGGGTTTCACTTTTCAAAGCCTGAAATAGATATGGAGATTTTGTGCTTAATTAAAGGAGAAGGGTGCTCACTTCAAGTCTTTTCAAAATCATTTTGGTTCTGAGCTCAGTGGAGCCAGTGAAGACCCAGTCACCATCTGGCAGGAAAGGTGTTAACTTGGAGTCTCCGGTCAATTCTAGACATCAGATTCAGAAACAAAGAGAATTAATTTCGGAGTCCCACTTGGCCGGCCCCTCCTAGCTGGTAAGCCGAGAGCCTCTGTATTGACTTGCTAGGTATTAAAAAGTTAAGTCTGCTAGGTCACCTGCAACACAGAATGCCAGGTGCCAGAGCCCGTCCCACCAGGCAGGATTATCTTATCAGCCAGGCTGATAACACTCAGGAAAGCCTGGCCATAAGGAGCAAATATTTATAAGCCCAACACCTTTCAGTCCATAACAGATTAGGCACAGGATGGCAGCAAGCGCAGGCGGCTGAGTTAGCAATCAGCTCTGGGCTTCGGAGCCTGGTTCCCGATCAGAATCTTCCCATGCGTGTTCGGCTCACGAAGAAGGCATGTTGATTACTGAACCGTGTAGGAGGCACTTTCCCACCTATTCCCTCACCGGACCCTCATGACAGCCTGGTGAGAGAGTTATTGTGTTACTCCCATTTTACTGTGGAAGAGACTGAGGTACAGAAAGGTTCACTGATTTGCACTTTCACATTGCTAGCAAGTGGGACTTAAACTCAGGTTTTCTGGTTTCAGAACTTGTTTGTTTTCTAAGCTGCAGCAGTGGCCTTGGCTGGTTCTCACTTGGCCATGCTTTAAATTCACAGCTCCCCAAGGAGTCCCTTGTGCCCCTTAATTCCCTGGTCACAAGCTTCTCTCACTTGGCAGATGAGGCCAACCAGAATCTGATGAAGAGGGAAAAGGAGATAGTGACCCCAGGGGAACAGTCACTAAAATATCCCTGGCCCCAAAACACATACATCCCTGTGGGCTCTCCGAGGGCTTGGAATTCATTCCTTTGGGTCTCCTGGTCTTTTGTGTTTATTCATTCTCCCTGGGAGAGGTGATTAAATGATTAGATGCAAATGAATTAGAATGAGAGGTTATCCTTGGTGTCAGAGGAGGTGTCCCTGATTGGAGGGGTCACTGGTTCCCTCTGTGCTAGTGTGGAGGGAGGCTGGGGAGAACCTGGAGGAAGCCCCCTCCCTCTGGGTCTTGGGTTTCTTCTCTGCCAAAGGAGACTAAATGATCTTAGACATCCCTACTTCCTGAACCTCAGAAAAATCTCCGGGGATGAGGAGCTCCATAAACCCTTCTCTTTTCATCCTCAGCCAGGAGAGCAGGAGTATTCTGAGGAAGCAACTTCTAAACTGACTGCAGAAGAGGTGAGTAGCTGGGGTCAGGAAGCAGCCTGTGCAGAGGCCTGGAGGTGAGTGCCAACATGCGTGTCTGAGCAACTGTGGTCCCAAAGCTTAGGTTACAAGCGGTTGAGAGATGAGGCTCAGAGATAAGCAGGACCCAGATTACAAAAAGTCTTGTAAGACCATGTTAAGGAGTGTGGGCTTTATCCTAAGAGCAATAGGGAGCCAGAAAGGAGTTAAAGCAAAGAAGTGGCATGACAGTAGGCATGTTTTAATACTTTCCCTCTGGAACAAATCTGGAGACTAGATTGGAGGGTGGGGAACAGAAGAAGGTGATGGGAAGAGCAAGGGCAGTGGGAGAGAGAGACCCCACCTGAACTTCTTTCTGCTTCCCACCCCCTTCCTCTGACCTAGGTTGGCCTGGTTATGACACCTGTATTTGCAAGAGTAATAATACTACTGGGCTTCCTAGGTGGCTCAGACAGTAAAGAATCTGCCTGCAATGTGGGCGACCCCAGTTTGATTCCTGAGTTGGGAAGATCCCCTGGAGAAGGGAATAGCAACCCACTCCAGTATTCTTGCGGGGAGAATCCCCTGGACAGAGGAGGCTGGTGAGTTACAGTCCATCAACTTGCAAAGAGTCAGATATGACTGAGCGATAAACACTTTCACTTTTTCACTATTTATAGTTGCTTCCTTTGTGCCAGGCACTGTGTGGGGTGCTGTCTGTGCTTGCCTCATTTATGCCTCATGATAACCCTACTAGGTAGGAATGCTTACCGGAATTTATGGATGAGAAAACTTGGGTCAGAGAGGCCAGGTGTCTTGCCCTGGGTCACACGGCTGGTAAATTGCCTCAGCACTACACAGGCAGAGATGTGGCTCATTGTTTTTAACCATGGGTGCCCTGCCCCCTGAGATGCCATCCCCACGGTTAGCCTGCACTTTCAGGGCAGGATGGAGCTCTGTTGGTCAGCTTCCTGCAGCAGAGGAGAATTGGAGTGGAGGTCCTAGTTAGCACAGATGTGATTGGCCGTGGGTCCCCTTTAAACAAGCTGTGTGGTGCATCTGGAGAGGGTGAGAGGTCTCTGGGAGCGTTTGGGATCCCATGGCTGGTTCGCCTTTTGGGTCAGAGGGGAAACAGAGCTGGGCCTGGGGCAGGTTGTGGTGCTGCAACCCCCCTCTCTATCCACCTCTCACATGAAGGGGCCTCTCAGAAGCCTTGGGGCTTCAGGAATCACTTCCCAATCCAGAGGGGAGCCAAGAAGTCACACTTGGCAGAAACTAGAGAATGCAGAGGGAGAATGGCTATTACTTCTTTCCCACACTGCCTTTTCTAGAGGGGGAATAGGACCCCAGGTCTGGGTCAGGGAGCTCTGAAGGGCACCCCAAGGTGGTTAGCACAGGGGCAGTGCCCCCAAAGGCCAGGTAGAGTAGAAGGGTAGACTGACATCCCTGATTTGATTCCCCCCAAATCACTGGAGACCCCCAGTGAAATTCACCCACTTCTATCCCATGATACAGAACAAAGAGGTTACTTTGCTGAGAGCCAGGAGTGCAGGCTTCTGTGCTGGGCCCTGCCACATCAGGATGGGTAAACTTGGAAAGGTCCTTCTCCTATTTCTTTTCCCCCACCGAATGGGGTGAGCCCTAAATGCCCCCTCTCCCAGCCCTGGAATCCAAGTCTCCAGGGTCTGGATGAGCCTGTGTGGTCCAAGCTGGCTGGCTTCACAGCCCTCTCCAGTCATGGCGGCCCATCCTCTCTCCCAGGGCCACCCTGGAGCCAGGCTAGAGAGCAAGCCAGAGGTTCTGCCCCTGTCCCATCCCCCCAAGTCCCCACTTCCCCACTCCCCCCTTACTCTAGGAGGACACCAGCCCTTCTGGGTTTGCTCTGTCAGTTGGATAGGGCTGGCTTGCACCTGCAGAAGGGCACACTAATTTATTTTGCATCATTTTGCATTACCTGGCTCCTGGGCCTCCAGCTTGACATGCAGATTTATGTAAAAGAGACCCGACATGCAAATGAGCCAGGCCTGCCACTTGTTTTAGTAACAGGCAGGGCCGCCTCACTGGCTCCTCCGGCCCAGCTGTTCTCCCCACAGCCCATGGATCTCTCAGGCCAAGGCCCGTCTCCCTGCTGCGATGCCTCTGCTCTGCTCTGCTCTGCTCAGAGCTCAGGCCAGGCGGGAAGTCAACTTGACAGCGAGGTTAGAAAGAAGAAAGCTCAAACCCTGCTTCCCCAAGGAGTTTCCGGCTGTGACCTGTTAGGAGACAGTGGAGAGATAAAGACAAACACCCGCAACCGACCAGAGAGAAAGAGGCCAACTGAGAGAAAGGTGCACCGGGACTCAGAGGGGCCAGGAGTCAGGGCTGCACACGAAACAAGAGTGAACGGAGAGGGGTAGGCAGATGGACAAAGAGCAGGTGAAGCACAAAGTCAGAGAGGGGGAGAAGCAAAAAACAAAAAAGCCAGCAGAGACAAGAGACAGGAGAGATGGGGACACAGGAGGGGGATGCTGATGGAGGGGGCGGACACCAAGAAAGGAACAGATTTCAGAGCTGCTGTGGAGGAAGAATAAGGATAGAGCAACAGCCGGGCTGCGGGGAAGAAAAGTGAGGGAGGAGTTGGCGATGATGACAGCTTGACGTTGGGGAGTGGGGGAAAGGAGTCACAGGCGGAAGTGACGGGGGAGACCCGTGGGGAGAGACAGGGGAGCTGCCCTGTGAGGAGCCCTGACAGCAACTTGGCTGCCACAGGCAGGAGCCGTGCCACCACCTCGTAAACCGATCCATATCTGCCTAGCTGTGTGTGGGCTTCCGTGCTAGCTCAGTAATCAAGAATCCACCTGCCAATGCAGGAGATGAGGGTTCCATCCCTGGGTTGGGAAGATCCCCTGGAGAAGGAGATGGCAACCCACTCCAGTATTCTTGCCTGGAGAATCCCATGGACAGAGGAGCCTGGTGGGCTACAGTCCATGTGGTCTCAAATGAGTCAGACTCAACAACAACAGCTATTAATACATGTATACTAACATATCTATAGAACACACTTATAAAGCACACGGATATGCAGTGTAGAAGAAAACATTCTACAGCCATGAGGCTCTAGAGAGGGAGCTTGAGGGGTTGGCTAGTGTGGCAGTAGTCGCTGTGTGTCTATCCTCACAGGACCCAGGGAGAATTCACAGCTGGTCACCCCAACCTTCCGACTGGAGAGCAGCCAACAGGCTGGTCCAGGCTGTTCCCTGCTCACCTGTCCCAGCCAGCCTCCCACTTCCTGTCCCCTGAATGCACTCAATTTGAGCAAGAAAGTAAGCAAGCAAACAAATCAAAACACAAAGAGAGAACCCATCGTGCTCCCACAGCCTCTTCTGTAGGGAAATTGACATTGTGGGAAGAGGCAGCCGGCAGAGGCCCTGGGTGGCTGGTCTTGGAGCTCCTGCAGGGTAGGGTGGGAATACTCCCTCGACTTTTGGATATTCTCCACCTCTGCACTCCACCCCCATGAGAGCTCCAGGGAGGGGACAGAGGAGGCATTTCTTAAAACCTTAAGTGTCAACACTGGCGGTGTCCTCAGAACCCCTCCAGCCCAACTTCATCATTTCACGGAAGAGGGCACCGTGACCCAGAAAGTTCCAGCAGCCTGGTTAGTGCGTAGTCCCCATAGTGTGGGGTTGGGCTAATGGACATTTTTTGTTAAACAACTCTTGTTCTCTCCAGATTGTCCCCTTGGCACTGACTGACCTTGCCCTCTATGCCTCTGGGATTCCTCTGACTTGCCGACGTTGGTCCTGGATACACACATAGCTCCTTGAAGGGTGGACTGTATTTTTACTCTGAGACGGATGAATTTGGTACATATTGTGAAACTTATGGGCACAGACACTTCTGTGCACTTTTCACCTGTGCTCCAGGAAGACCCAGGGTTCTCTGGGTCACCTTTACCATCTCGCCAGCTAGTACTTGCCAGTTCCCAGTAGATAAATCCCGCAAATAGCTGAGTCCAATGAAAGTGTTGTGTGAGCCGTGGGATTTTCACCTGGCAGAGATCTGCTCTAAGCTGGGGGTCTCCAGACACCTGGGTCATCTCCAGAACCTCTCCTTGCCCCTCCTCCCATTTAGAAGTGCAGGTCAGCTCCTCAGACTCCCATCACTGCCTGGATCTGACTCAGTCTGCTTGGTTCAGCCAGAGGTCATGTGGCTCCACTCCAGGCCCATCTCTTGGGTCACTTTGGCCAGCTTCATGTGTCACTTACGCGTTAACCTCTGATTCGGTGGTTTTTAACTTCTTGGAATGAGAGACCCTTTTGGGGACAGGATTAAGGCTGTGAAGTCTCTCCCATCATGGTACTGTTCATGTCCTTGAGACTTTGTATATTGATGTCAGGGAATTCATGGACTCTCTGAAGCCCTCAGACCAAGACAGACAGACCCAAGGGTCCTGTTGGCAGGAAGCCAGGGTCCCCGGGGAGGCCCAAGGCCCCAAATCATTTCAGAAGAAACTGAAGCCCTAACAAAGTGACATTTCAGGAGACTTCCCACAGAATGGCTTCTTTCCCTCTTTCCGTCTCAAGAATTCCTTTTCTAGGCAACTGTTTCTTCCTTGTTGAAAAGTCAGATCTAAACTTTACCACTATACCCTAGCTTCATATCGGGCAAGCTGAAATGGCACATAATTCACAGCTTAGTTCTCCTTTCTCTTGTACTCTCTCTCTCTCTGTGTCCCTCTCTCCAACAGCCCCTCCCAGGCAGCACCTGCCCCTGACCCCATTTTGCTTTGTCTCAAGCCAGGGCTTAGCTGAGCACCAGACCCTGAGATGGCTCCAGAAGAGGTGCGTGGTAGATGATACACTCTTGGGGACTTGAAAGCTGGCTCATCATGTCACCTCGTCATCCAGGGGAGACCATGGATGTTCATGATCTCAGAAAAAGAGCCTCTGAGGGCAAGAGTGGGTGGGAGAAGCAGAGAAACCCTAGGAGAAAGGGAAGGGTGGGCAACCTGACTGAGAATTCCCTCTGCAGACTCCAGATCCTGAGTGCTGCCATATCCCCGCCCCCATCTCCCCTTTTCCGAAAGTGGGTGATAGAGAAGGCTGTGGACTGCAGACTCTGGGCCTGGCTGGAGATGCCGAGAGGCCTCTGTGTGAAGGGGAAAGATGGGAGGGCTGGAATCTCTGGGGACCAGGGCAGGCCGGGGGCCTGGGAAGATCCTTGTGGAAGGCCCAGGACACAGGGTGGCCAGGGCTCAGAAGAGTGAGAGCAGGCGCCTCGCCAGAGAGGGGTCCAGCCAGCCCACAGGGTGGCCCAGCCATCCAACGTGCCTTTAGATGAAGAAAGCTGCTTAATCTCCCCCTGGAAATCAGGAAGTTGGAACCCACACAGCTGATTACGGGACCAGAGGAGTGATTTCAGAGGAAAGATGAAAAGAATTAAAGTCAGCTCAGGAGGGAGCAGAGGAGAGAGAGCTGGGAGGTGGGAGCATAATGCTGAGGAGTTTTTCTGCAAAGC